GGTGATGATTAGGATGATGATGATGAGGATAATGAGGATGATTAGGATGAAGATTATGATGAGGAGGAGGATGATTAGGATGAAGATGATGATGAGGAGGAGGATGATTAGGATGAAGATGATGATGCGAAAGAGGTTGATTAGGATGATGATGATGACGTTGATGATATCATGGGAAATCTGGATGTGATGAGCAGAGACGTTTATGTTGAAGCAGAGAACCAGAACCACGGCCCAGATGGTTCCATGGTCTCATCTCCATGTCGGTGTGTCTCTCAGGAACCGCTGTGCCTTCCAGCAGAAGGAAGTTGTTACAGTAACTGAAGAGTGTAGAAAAGTGGTGAAGCAACGGGGTCCGTGTCCCAGCGGGTCGCCGAGCTGCACGAGGATCACGTGAGTAGATCTGGTGGGAAGGGGGCAGAACATGTAGATGTTCTACAGCAGGAAGAACATCTGGTTCCACAGCTGCAGCTTCATACAGGAAGTTGTTCTTCTCTCTGAGTGAGATGATGAACTCTCGGTTTCCTCTGCCTGCAGGTACCGCTGGTCCACGCAGCCCACCCTCTGCCAGAAGGAGAAGGTGCTCACTGCTCTGGTGTGGCGCTGCTGTCCAGGGCGGGGAGGTCCAAACTGTGAGGAAGAAGGTGGGACCAGAAACCTTCTCCCTGAAGTTAGAAACCGATCAGTTTAGCAGAGAAGATCCAGTCAGGTGGTAACCTTCTGGTTCCAGCAGGTTTAGGAAACAGGACCCTCCATCTGATCCCCACAAGGAGGACGTCCCCTCATCTCTGTCTGTCCTCCTCTGTGTCCAGAGGTCTCTGAAAGTCTGTCAGGAGGGAGATCTAGAACCGACTTTCAGGTTCAGAGATCTGCTCGGTGGTTTCAGATCAAATCTGCTCCACAACCAAAGGCTGAATAATCATCATAATGATGATAAAGATCCACCATTGGATCTTCTTGATGCCGACAGCTCATTGGTTCCTCTCAGGAGAATCAGCGGTTCTGATTTAAGTCCATCTAAAAACCCAGGAAATCCAGAACCCCAGAACTATGGATCCACTCTGAGTCCAAACCTGTTCAGACAAATGGGTCGGTTCTGAAAATCAAACAGCTGCTGCTTTAGAAAAGGTTCTACTCAGTCGGACCCAAACTGGTTCTGGTTATATTAAACCATCTGTCCAACAGAACCGACACCTTCTCCTTGTGGTGAACAAAGCGACACTAAACCTTTTTTTATTCTTCACAGTCTCTGGTCTTCAGACGGACTCCAGTGGATCAGAACCTGAAGGAACCAAGGTCCAGTTTCCAGGTATGACGTCTGAGTTGGTTTTAGGAACCTTGTCAGTTCTTGGTTCTGGTTGTTGACGATGGTTGGTCATGAGGTTTTCAGGCAGGGGGAGGAACTACCATCAGGATCTGGAGCTTCTCTGGTCTTCTGACGCTGGAACACCCTGCTTACATCTTCCTCATTGACCTTTAGAGCAGGGAGTGGGCGGAGGGGGAGGGGCAGGTTGATGGGCGAAGTGTTTATTCCCTTCAGCTCCTCCAGACTGAACATCCTGTACTGTTGTGGTTCCACAGGAGACCAGATGTTTACCAGAGTATTTTTACCTTCCTGAGGCCCAGAGAGCTCCAAGAACAGCCCTGGAAGGTCCGACTAAAATAGAGCTCTGGCCTTTAGAGTCTGGTGGGAACGAAGCACACAGGTCCAGTCTGCTCCCAGCGCTCGCTCCCTGGAGGAGCTTCCTGTGAGCGCCATCAGCAGGAGGAGCACAATGACAGGAACAGCTGAAATAAAGCTGACATCAGTCCTGCCCCGGCCGTTCTATGCATGCAGCTCTATGGTGCAGTCAGAGGGACAAAATTAATAAAACTGAACATCTTAAGATCAAACAGTTTCTCTTTAGACTCTGATCCAAACCCTGGTCTCAGATCAGAACCTTTCGTTGTCTCAGTCTGGGTTTGGTCCCTTTTCTTTATTGAAATCTGAAAACATGAAGATCTGAAACCTGGATTCAGATCTGGTTCTGGAAAAGCTTCTTCCTGCTGTCAGAACTCAGCGGTCAGAGCCGCTCTGTTTTACCCACAGACAGGATTCTGATGATGAAGAAGATCTGAGGATGAAGATCAGGGCGGTACCAGTGCAGGTCCAGGAGGCCCGACCAGAACCTGGATCTTCACTCTACAGCTCTCTCCAAGAAAGAGATATTTATTCACCCTGTGGAGGATTCTGGTTCTGGTTCTGTCCCAAACGGACCAGCTGTGACCCTCAAACATTCTGCTGAGCTTGATCCAACGGAAGGAAATCTCTTTCTTAGAGTGAGTAGTTTAGGTTATAGATCTATATCTGAAGGATTGGTTTAGTCTCAGCTTTCGGGGGATTCTGGTTTTCTAACTTCTACAGTTCATCTAGAGCCGGGGTCAGAGGTCAAAACCGACTGTTCTGCTGGATAAGATGTAGATTAATAGATGTGCATTCCTCCTCTTCTTCCTGGTGTTCTAGGTCTGTTCTGTGGGTCAGTGACTCTCAGCTTTCCTCTGTTTCTGGGAAACGATCCGTCTGAAAGATGAAGAATCAGCGAAGAACAAAAAACATCAACATGTTTATGAAACATTAAAATGATAAATGTTTTCTGTTCAGATTAAATATCTGGTTCCTTCATGACGTCCGACCTGCTCGCAGGACGGTTCTGACCCAATCGGGTCGGAGTTCATCTTTCACATAATCTTTTGTGTTCCAGGCGACCAGGTTGGACTTCAGCTGCAGCAGCATGGCGACCCGAACCGGGAGCAGAGCGACTACCAGACCTCCTTCAGAGCTCCTCAGAGCTCCGCCCACCCAGACTCAGGACACGCCCCCACCCACCATCACCTTCCTATTTACCGTCATCATCATCTTCATCATCAAGGGCAGAACCAACCGCCGTCCATGGAGCCCACTCAGGGTAAGACCAGAACCGCCACAGAGTTCTGAAGCTTTATTTCTTCCTCTCTTGAAAATTTCCTAGAATCAAACTGGGTCAGTTTTGGTGCCAAAACATGAGAGAACGTCCTGCTCAGAAGGTCATCTCCAGACCAACAGGTCACGATGACATCATACGCTTCCTGTTTGGCTCAGTTCCCCAGATCTTTCCATGACCTCTGACCTCACAGCAGCCGGCGCTTTGTCACCTTTGCAGGAACGTTCTGCTGGTTTTGGTTCATGTTCTGCAGAGTTCAGGTTCCCGGACGTTCTTGAGATTACGTACCTGATGAAGAGAAGCCTGAATCTGTTGATCATGTCTGATTGAACCACAGCTGGATCCATTATTCTGCATTCGACTCTGCAGGCTGCCTGATGTCCGTTCAGATCTTCTCTTCCTTATGGTTCCAAACAGATCCAGCTGCCGGATCTCCACTCCCTGAATCACTGATGGGGTGCGTTTGATTTTATCACCTGGACGTCCCTGCTGCAGCAATAGTCAGAGGAGACCTGGAGCTCCCTAAAACTGTGTGACCTCTGACCTTTGCTGGGCTATTGGAGCCAAGAGGAGAGCCGAGCCAGAAACTAAAGAAGAAAAACAGCACCTATGATCCGGACCTCCTTCCTTTTGCGATCCGCTGAGCTTCACTGACCATCGATGCTTTATCACTCAGGGTCTGAACCAGAACCATTTTAAAGCAGAAGTCCATTTATATTTTTATTTATACCTAAAACTAAAACATTTGCGGTGATTTAATGAATTTAGCGTTAATCAGTAAAAACATAAAAAACAATAATTTTCGTCTCAATCACTGAGTCTGGGAGCGGCCATTTTTGCCCAAATATAGTAGCCCCTCCCTCCTGCCATCTTCCAGCAGTGACGTCACGGTGCGGTAAGCCTAGCGCCATTCTCCCCGCTTTCCAAGCTAAATCAATGGGAACTAC